AAGGCGGTTTGTTTGAAGTAAGTGTTAGACAAGATCTATGAAGCTTGCAAAACAAATTTTTATCAATTATTCAATAATTATATAGACGGGTTTGATCAAAGTAAGTGTTAAAGTCAAGATTTACAAAGCTTGCAATCCAGCTTTGCAAAATGAATGTATAGACGTGATCAAAGCATTTTTAGTAATAAACAAATAATCAATTCAACTGTCAATTTAAATGCACTTTTAGTAATAACGATAAATTCAATTGTCAATTAATTAATTAAACGCATAATGCTTTTCTGAATCAATGGTACGATTCAAAAAACAGGACAAATGATAATAATAGTAAATAAAAACGGTATGACCTTCAACTAACTAAATATCAAACGAAAAAAGAAATTTTTATTCTTACCAAAAAGATATTATAATTATTGCACGATAAATTTTTATCACGTGGAAAAGAGGTATTTACATTAAAGAAAAAGAATCACGTAGATTAATGCATAACGGAATTTCTTTGAGTTTATTGGACAATCAATCGTTAATAATATAACTGTATAATGTGAACAGAATTAAAAAATTCAATAGTAATACATACAAGAGAGAATAATTTTTATTATCCCCATTACTATTTCGTTCTTATTCTACTTATTAATAATACTTGTTTTCGTTTAATAGATATGTAATTAATTTAATTATTTGGACACCATGTACAGTGTATTGCTAAAGATTTAATTTTAAATATAATTAATTGCCTCAAACGTAATTGGCACATTAAAAGCATAACATGTTGCATCTTACCTCTAAATAGTTTCATATTATACCAAAAAAAGTTAATTTTTAAAGTTCAATTCTTAAATTTTTCGTAAAAATTGAACTTGTAAATAATATTTTAATTTAACTTATCTGTAATATTATCGGGTTCCTTGTTTCTTTTATATACTGTTAAGTTTGCTGATTCCTTTTTAATGTTTAAATTCCCAACATGTTATTAAAATATGTACATATATTATTATTATATGTATTCTAAACCTCTTTATTATAAATTCATTCATAATACTGATATTGGAAAACGTTTGATCAGGGCATGAAGTATGATAAAGAGGCTTGAAATTTACGTGCCTATAAAAAAAAATCATATTTTTAAATCGGACGACTATTGTAAAATCATATAAATAATCGTGTAACAATTTTTGGAAATTTAGAAATTGCTATTTTTATAAAACAAAACATTTGCCAAGCACGGCTAGACGTAAAAAAAGACAATCGGCAAAAAACTGCACGACTCGCGATGTCAAATGTTCAATCTTTTTTAATTAATTGACAATTTAAAAATTAGATACTTTATTCATTAGTAATGAATTAACACTCATTCAAATAACCTTTAATACTGATTATATTAAGAAGTATCAAGATATCAAGATCATTACATTCTGCTTGAAGAATATGACAACGGATGTAGTAAATCATTATTATTAGAATAATAGTAATTATATCAGTTGTACATGAACCATTTCGACTTTTTGATAAAATATTAATAATTTTGGATAGTAGTAATAATAGTCGAAATACTTTTGGATAGTAATAATTGAAATGATTTTGTTGGTCAAAAATTGTTTCAAACCTTTGAAAAAGTTGTTGTGGATAATAAAATGATAATTAACATTAACAACCAAGCCAAAACGATAATTTAAATTAACATTAATATTAACAGTTAAGTCAATATGATACAGTCAACAACCCTCGTTTTAAAAAATCTATGGTAGTATTATGACCTGGATTGTTAATGGGTTAACGGGTCCTTTAACATTAACATTAATATTAAGAATATTCGATCTGTTGACTGTTTAATATTAATATTACAATTAAGGATTTTTCCCATCCGGATTTGTAATGGATTAATCCGTTAATACTAAAAACATTTATTAGAAGAACTTAAAAATAAAATATTTATTTATTTTAATTAATTTCAAATTGTAATTCATTTGATTTCTGGTCAATTACCAACTTCATTTAAGGCTGAACAAATTTTTACTAATCGTTTTGAAGTAAGTTCATGCCCAACTATGATTCTGTCTGTCCGTTTTTGTTTTTTTTTTAATGGTAGTAATTGCTCATAAGAGCATGAGTGGAGTGGTAGGCATAATTTTATTATTTGAGAAACTAGCTTCGCCCCGATGCTTCTTTAGGGATAAAGTCGAAGTGTATAAACATTCAAACTGTTAAACAAACCTGAAATATGAAATGGAGTTCAAACCTATTCTGAATAGTTAATAAAACCTATCCAATTGCAAATGATCATAAAAACAATGATATATTTTTATCGCTTGTAAATGAAAACCAAGACAAGATCTTTTAGAAATTGAAAAAGAATTTCAAGGAAAAATATATTAATGAGACCGAATTAGGTAATGCAATAAAGAATGTAAATAATTTAACGTTATAAAAATATTCTAATGTATGTTATGATAGCTTACATTTACAAAGTCAATTTAAAAATTGGACTTCAGGAAATGAATAATTCCAAAAGCCTTCAGCTCTACCAAAACAAATTATGAAATGTATCCCATTTGACCAATTTAGAAAGTTGGATATTTAGCTAAAGGTTATTTGGTAGTATTTATATAAGGCAACACGGACAAGAAGGATTATGAAGAAAACAAGGAATAATTTTTTTATCATGTATCACATCATGTGGTATTGAAATGTTTAATCGACTCAAATGGCCTTGGAACACCAAATTTTAGATAAGGTCAATGTTTTAAAAATCAAATTATATTTTAATTATATTTACAACAAATAGTGACACGAGCTGGCTTAGAGTTGTTTGGCTTAGCCAGCCAAGGTTTTTCTCCCGGCTGACAAAAAAATTATTTAAATGTTTACGTTTATCATTAACATATTTAAATATTTAGTGCATTGTGGAAATATGTTAATGGAAGGATATGCTTGTTATATTACAGGTTTAGGATTATGTGGACTGGTTAATTATTTTTCAAATGAAATTTATGGAATTAGTTAGTATTAAAGAGTCAGATGTTTACTATTGGAATCTTGATGTGGGAAAATTGTTGATAAGGAAAAAAAGATCTAGAGTTAAATAGCTAATATATTGCCAGCGCCCTAAGGAAAGAAAGGATGACTTATGAAATTTACCAAGAGAAAGAAAAATAATTAAAATTAAGAAAAGAAAGCAGAATGAAGATATGCTTTAAATTTTTATTTTTATTAAAATATAAAATATTAACTATCAATACATAATTTAAAAAAAATATATAAATCAATTTGATGCTTCTTCCAATGCCTCACATCCAGAATCGACCACATAAAAGCACCTAATTCTCCTTCTTTTCCTTTGGGATGCATTATCATCATCATTCTGTGATTATTTACAACAGACCATTTAAGTAAAAGCATAAAAATCAATCAGAAAACAGAAATAACTAAAATACTTACATCATTATTATTATCACTCCTACTGTCTTCATCATCACTATCCTCCCTTTCTTCATCATCTCCATCATATCCACTCTCACCCCCGGCCTCTGACTCATCTTCTGACTCATCTTCTTTTTGATCCTCTATCAACAACAAACTCTCAAGATTGCCCAACTCATCTTCTAAATCTGAGCACCTTGTTTCATTCTCTTCCAACACCACCTTATTCAATTTTTTCACATCTATCTCTCCTATTACCTCCAATATGCTCTTCAGGGCCAGTACACAACTCCTCTAATTTTATTCCAATAAAACACAAAATAAAAATCTTGAACTTGTTGATTGAATTGGAATATTCAACAAGAATATGATTTACTTACCACACTACGACTCCTATATCCTGGATCAGTGCTAAATAAGTTAAAAAGCAATAAAGGTTATAATGATTAATTAAATGATTTTGATGCTTAAATGATTTCTGCATAGTTCTTTAGTAGTACTTACTTTTTTACTCTTGAATTTGATATTTACATTGTTTGAAAAAAAGATAATTATTATTAGATAGCAGAATAATTGTAACCAAGCATGGTGGACATTTGAAATGTTATACTAATTTTTTATGTTGTATGATGTAATTTTACAATACACAGTGAATGTTCTCTCAATAAAAAGTAGGTGATAAACTGAGTTTCAATTGTATCTCAATTGTATCCCCGATTTAGAGAGGTGAAGACTATATGCTAATGAATTTTCAAGGAAAACGGGCTATGTGTAACATATAGCATTCAACAAATTTCCACTATGATTTGTAACCACCATTCTTTTAAATGAAGACAAGTGACTTACCCTTTTACTTCTTCCCAATAATTATCGCGATTTCTTCTACTAGTTCCTTGTGACATATTTAATAATAATAGAAATTAAAACGCTGAATTTTTTTTCTCATACTATATTGTCAACTACTTGAAAAAAGGAAAAAATGACAGTCATAAGAAATTATTATGCTAAAATTAGCCAAGATGATGGGAATGGCGATGGGAGTGGTAGTGGTAGTGGCGGCAAGGATGACAACAGTAATGATAATAATAATAATAAAGAAATTGAAGATTTACCAAATTTGAAAGAACTTAGGAATGAAATGGAAGTGACCATGAAAAATTTTTCAATCTATTCAACAATGAAAGTTGTTGACGATGATAAAACTGTTATTTCAAAGTTGGAAGATATCAATAAAGAGAGGGCTGGTTTCAAGAAAATTGTTGAAGAGTCGATAATTGAGAGTACCAAGTTACATACTTTTGCTGACAATTTGATTGTTTTTGCTGACAGTTGTGAAAAGGATAAAGATATTAGTAATGAAGATTTATTGGAAGCTTTGAAATCGTTGAAAGATGATGCTATCAATAATAGAAGGTCTGCTATGAATTTGAAAAGAGAAATAGAAAAGGTTAAGCAAAATCTTGGTAATATTCGTACAGAGTTGATTAATTATAATGAAAAGATAGCAAATAATGAAAAAGATATGGCATCAACTACTCGAAATGAATTGATTGAAAAAGAAACTCAACTTGAGAAATCAAATCCTATAGCTGTAAAGAGTTTAATTGCAGCGGGAGCGGGACTTGGTGTATCATTGATAGCACTACCGTTTACTGGTGGCGTATCAGCAATTCCGGCTTGTATTGAAGTGACTATTTGTGCAGAAATCTTATTCGGATTGGGATTAGGAGTATTGGGTCTTGGAACAACAAGTATTGGAATAGTAAAGGGTAATAACGAATGATTCAAACAACTTTTTTGTATTCATTTATTTCGTTTTCAAAGATTGCTAATTTTCTTTTCCATCTCTTTTGGTATGTCCACGACAATATCGGTAAAAGGTATACCCACAGCACAATATTATTATATTAATTACAAGTTACAACAAGAAAGAGATAAATTGGCAGATCAAATCGGAGAGTTGAAACAAGGATTGGAAAATGTTCATAATGCTCTTGGTAAGTTTGAATCCCAGTTGAGCACACAAGAAACTTATATACAAATTTTGATTGAAAAATTTCAAAAACATGAAAACGATGGTGATGGAAGAATTCCAAAAATTATTGCAAGAGGTATTATTAAAAGATGGAAAGAAATTACACAAGAATCAACGCAATATGCCTCCATAATGAGGGAATTGCTTCATAATGATTTCAACCTAGAAAATCAACCAAGCAAGGTATTTATTAATTTGTATAATGTAAATTTATAGTTTTCACAATTAATGATGCTAACTGCTAATATTATCAATGTTATTGTTTTAAAATCAAAATAGATAACACAACAATAATAATATACATGACATTGATTAGATGTGTGTGTATATTGTCACATTTTATCATTTTGATTAGCAAATTTATGCATAAGCGTACATATTTATTTACATATAAATAGAATTATCATATGTATTTATTTTTTTTTGTATGCTATATTTTTTTTTATATTTTGTTAAAGTTTGCTGATAAATAAAAAGTTTACTATTAAGTGAATAAGTGGTGACTATGGTTATGGTTTTCTTGATGGATAATCAAACTTTTGATTGCTTTTTGTGTTTTCATATTCTGGCATCAGATGATCTATCACAAAATATACTGATAGTTGAAGATTGATGTTTATATATAGGTTAGGTGCAACTATTTCATATGCATTTTGGGAATTCCTACAGTATCTTTGATTAGATCAGGTTTTTTTTAAAAAAAAAGGAAATATACAAATAAGAAATTCCTCAAGTGCTTCATTTATTGAAAGTAGAAAAACTTGTTTATCCATCCATCCTACCTGTCCAAGTAAGCATCAGATAGGTTTTCATTGGCAATTTAGGTTTGAAATTTTGACAAAGACTTTATGTCCTTTCCATGCTTCTGGTTGGAGAAATCGGCGGTCATGATTTTAATAACTGGGAAACCAGTTTTAGTTGATGATAGATAAAATTAATAAGTCATTTCCCATTCAATATTCAGACGAAATGTAATTCGATGATTTGATTGGATAATTCATTTATTTTTAATTCCATCTTATAAATAAGTAACCAATATGATGAACCGCCAACTTAAAAAAAAAAACTTTATCAAAATTATTAGAAGAAATAGAAGCTCATCAAAAAAAGATTGAAGATTATGATGACGACGAGAGATAATAACAATAATATAATAATAGGCATAAGTCAAGGTATCAAGATAATTATGTGCAACATACATTAACACAACTATACTTTTCACTGAAACAAAACAGTTTACGTTTCTTTAATTAATTAATAGTAATTTATCTGGAGTTGACTTTTCAAAACTTTCGATATGCTGGAGAGGCACTTTGTGATATTTGGCATCACGTTCTAATTTTTGGAAGAAGTTTAGATGCATGTTATGTTGAAGAGCTTGTTAATCTATTTGAAAATCTACAGAATGCTTTGTGCCGTGGTCATGGATTGAAAATCATAGTAACTTATGTTAATAATCTATTGATATTAAATGATGCATAAATAGAAATGGATTTTCTTCAATTAAATAATAGTTTTTTACCTCCAATCACAAAAGCTAAAAATAGTCATTTCACAAATCTCATACACTTCCTTGAATGTTATAATCTCTTGAAAATCCCTAGGTATGATTTGCATTGTCCATCCCTTGATCAAACAACCTATTCACATCTTTGTTGTTCTGAATGTAATAAAGATTTTCCAACTCTTGTTTATTTGACAGATCATAAACGAATAATGCATCCTTCCAATTGTGGGAAATCTAAAGAACAAAAATCAAGAACTCTTGATGATTTCTCTCTTCTCCCATAACAACAAAGGCAACCTCTTTTTGATGAAATGTATCTAAGGGAATGTATTATGGCATTTATGTATATGAGAATGTATATGAGAATTTTATAAATAAATTTCATATATATAAAAAAAGCCCAAGTACATAATGATCACTTATTAAGAATGAAACCTTTTAGTACTTTGATATATAATTAGCCCGCCTAATAGTGCAAGATATCAATCAATATCTTTGAATGTGACCTTTGATTTTTGTATGGGTCAAATTCGGAAATTTCCATGTTGATTTTATCGCTTCTATAAAATTCAATCAATCAATACTTTCGTTAAAGATACTGGACACAAATAAACGTCGTCGAAAACCGTGTAATGTGTGCATTGCAACCCAAGTTTGTTTTGCTGATGTCAAACAAAGTCCTGCTATCGCAAACATGTGTGTAACGTTGAATTATAAAATACATTGGTTGCATATTATAATATTAATATGTACCACGAAAATTAGACTATTTTGCCATAAATATAAATATGTAAATAATTACAAATCCTGACGCGTGTATATATATAAATATTGTGACAAATTACTATTACATAATAATAATAACAAGTTGGTTGACATAATACTTTTTTTTATTTATCCTTTGAATATAATATATCTTTGGAATTTTTTGAATATTTAAGAATATTAAAAACATTTAATGATAAAAGGTATTATTCATTCATTATAAAATAAATAAATTATTTGAAAACTTCAATCACATATATATATATGTATTTATTTTATTTATTTATTTATTTTCTCATACAATAATAAATTCTTGACAATCAAACCTTTTGCATTTATTATATACAGATAACCTGGCCATGTTGCTGCACCTCAACGTGGTGGCCAGGGGACAACAGATATTGATGTTTTTTTATCTTGTCGTAGTAAAAGAGCATTAGTATTTGGCTAAGCAACAACGAAGAAAAAAGTACTTGAAGAAGAAGAAATCAACAAAGAAATCAACAACAACAAAAACGACAACAACAAAAACAATGAAAAAAGACAACATACCATGTGTATTGATATAGTTGCAAGTCTGGTGGTTTGAAAGGATCCCAGGCATTACAGATATTTTAAATATCTGGTTACATGTAATACCCAATAGATTATCATGTGTGAATGACAACAGGTATTGTGCACATACCTGGCATGTAAGTCTATAGGTTTCCCATGTTTTAAACGAAGAGCAATGTTTATCGATCTATGGTAGTATGGTTGGCTCTATATAATGTGGTATCGATACGGTTGCAAGTCTAGTATGATTCGAAGGAAACTGGTTGTCCTTCCAAAATCCAATCATAAGATGTAAATATTATTAAAAATATTATCTTTTATATATGTTGTGCATGAGAATGAATTGAAATTTGAATTCACACACAACACATAAATATAAATATTATATTGATAATTAAATTTATTTATTGTAGCTACTTGCAACTGGTATCTCAAGGTTTAGTGAAGGAGGTTAGATTTAATGAAATGAGTTCTTATTCTGTTTGCACAAAAATAGAAAGAGGATTTCCAATTTTGAAAGATAGACCATGGACAGTATGTTGTCCAGGTATGTGGCCAAAAATTCAGAATAGGCCACATTGATATGTACCAATATAAACAGGAGAGACCGTCCTATATAAGGAATGGATTTTCACAATTGATTTCAATTTTTTTTATACAGTTTTAAATACTTTTACAAGGGTATCATGTAGCCCATTCTTGCAATAAATCATGTGTAAATAATTACACAAAATTGAAGCTTTACACTTTGTTGTTATCATATCTTTTGAATCCCTTTGGATTAGTGTTCCATGTTGCAATCCAAAAAAGGAAACAAAATGGTTGTAAAGGTGGTTGCAATCGTTTTTATATGATGCAAAGATGGTAGCAACCACCATCAAAAGTTGCAGTTGGTATCCTTAGAGGGACTCAATGCTCTGGAGTTTACCAAGACTGCATCAATCATCAAGGACACTTTCACTAATCTTCCCTCACAGCACCAAACCAGAGAAGACTGCTGGCATGTTAGCCGAAAAATTTCCTGCAATGATCCTACCTCTAAAGATGGATCTGTGTCCAAGAAGTTGCAACCCTGGAGGAATATTAAGAGAATCTGCAACTTGTTTCAAGCACATGAGGTTACAATTCAGTGGCCATGAAATTGCATTTGGGCTCTGATATTAGGAGAAAGGCTGCAAAATAAAAATGGTCCAGATATTTTTTGTCTGGTATGTTATGTTGTAAATTAATCATTTTTATAAATTCTCTATTTTTATTTGGCCAACTGAACTTGTTATTTAAATTGGGGGTAGGGTTGTTGGTGAGTAAGCATGCCACTGACAAAACAGGAGACGCCTTTGAGATATACCAGCCAAACCCATAGAAAGGGATCTTTTGTCCAGACTTAGGGTCACATGGATGTTAAGCACAGAAAATGTACACTATCAATATATATTTTTTTCAACGAATTAAATAAATAATTATTAAATATTAATACTTTTCTTTTGATAAAAATTACAGCAACCCAAGACTCAAAACTCTGAATTCAGGGAAAATCCAAAACAAAAACCCAAGTTGCAATCTCCCAAGTTGCTGAATTTTCGAGCCAGTCTTAACACCAACTTTATTCTAGAGAGGTATAACACAAAGCAATCATCACACAAACACCAGCTATCAGTGATCAATGCCTATATGGAAACAGACAAGCCTGGTCTGAGAGGAAGATAAGGGAAAGTTTTGTCCAAAGCCTTCCAACATGTGGGGGCTTCACTTGTGGGAGAAATTTCACAATTATGAGGGTGTGTGAAAGCACCCAACCATATGTTGATGACAGGAAATTTCAATTAAATCTGATCCCTGTGATCAACGTCAGATTTATTATTCATAAGGAACCATAATTGATAATCAGGAAAAATAATTTATTTTGTTTATTAAAAGTTTCATTTCTGCATGGTCTTGTTATTATTTATTATGTCAATGATGATATCAAATTTATTGCATAATCGTTGTGATGGATGTGGCGGGGACAAATTAATTCACATCTGAGAAAGTATTAAATAACAACAAAAGCTAAGTCATGTTTATTGTTTATCTAAACAAAATATATATTTAAAAAATAATTATTTGTCCACTCTTGCAATGAATAATATTATTCTGAAATCTTTTTTTATTTAGAATTAAATCACACAAGTGGTAGTCATTTTATTAAAAAGGTTTACTTGAAATGATATTATTTTAAATGCGTAAAATTTTTTTTAAAAGATGTTTTTATAATTCTTAATATTGTGAGATCAAAATCCACGTCTCACACAAATCTTATGATTTGATTAAAATACTATTTATTTATATATACTAAATCGTAATGACAATTTCCGCGAATCTATATTTATGCTTTACTCTCAAAACTATCTTTTACTATCATTAAACAATTTCTTATACTAAGAAATACTAAACAATATCTTTTTTAGATTTTACACTATGTATCTTGATCACGTTTCTTGGTGGGTGCCTTTCTAGCCGTTTTCCTCTTTACTACCAAGTCAGGTACGTCTCCAAAACTACTAAATAAAGTTTATTAATATTACCTCACTAAAAGAAAAGAAAAGAAATAAAAAATAATAAAATTAATAGAGACAAATATAAAATAAGAGAAAATAATTATGCACGGGATTAGTATAAATTCGTCGTTAGGGATAGATTTATTATCATTACGAAAATATAATGTTCGAAGTTAACAAGGACAAGGTCAAGGTCAAGATCAAGGTTTATTTATTATAATAATATTTGAGTTTACTAAAAAACTTTGAGTTAATTAAAACTAAAGATTACATGAAAGAGAAATTTACAACGTATTTATACATTTTAGAGGTTCTATCATCTAGTTCTCCGATTTCTTTAAAATCCTAAATGATACTAATTAATGTATTCTTTAATCATTATTTAAACCTTCCATGTAGAATTATTTTCTAGTCAACATGAGTCATGTAAAATTCTTTCGTTTAAATATTATTCTGAGATTTGGTCATCTGTTACACTTTAGAATGTTGGAATATTTATATTTCCAATATTTCCGCGAGTCAATTATTTTATTATTATTGGTGTTTGAATAAATTGTACTGGTTTGGTCACTTGATCAGTTTTTCCGATTTTACTTGCGTGTAACTTCGTAAATCATTTCCGATTTATTATTATATATTAATATTAATATTAGTTTCCCGTGATTTATAATTTACTATTTTACACTAGTTAATAGGTTATTTAATGCTCAACACACGGCCTACTCGCTGACTTATGGTTGATTCTATATCAGTCGCAGGACATTACAGATTTACAAGGGGTCAAGTGTCACTCATATATAAAATTAATGATCTTCGTGCATAATTTTATATGTAAAATCGATGAAAAAAATCACTCTGGTATACACAAACCTACCCAATTTAACCAAGATTGTTCCTTGAATTATAAAAAATCAAAATATATGGAAAAACCTTTATTTTGACAGCATGATTTTTATTGGATATAAAATGTGACAAAATAAAATTAGGTTTTTTACCAAAATTAGAAAATTTGGGGGTAAATCAAAATTTATATGGAATGTGTAACATTGATCACAGCGAACAAAAATTTAAAGTGTAGTATACACACACACACGAGGGTTTATTACCACCACCATCACCACTATGTCATTCTCGTTCTACTTCTACTGCTGCTGCCACTGCTTTTAATGTGCCATTAATTATGTTTGATGTCATTATGTTAGAGAAAATTAAGTCTCTTAAAGAAATTTGCATAAACGTTCTATTTATGAATTGATTATAAAGTAATACTAATATTTGTCAGTCTATTCACCACCATGCCATATTATATTGTACTTGAATAATTAATTGCACATATATATATATATATATATATAACTATTAAATAAAAACAAGTATTAAAAATATTAATATTAATATTAGAAAGTTTTACCAATAAAAATTGCACCTACCTGCCGTCTTTCTTAAATTTGTAATATAAATGATAGTCTTTATTCATAATAGAGTAAGAAGATTCATCTGTAAAATCTTTCTTAAATTGTATATAAAAAATAGTTTAATAATAGAGTAGGTAATTATGATATAAAAAATCTTCATCTCTAATAAACCTCTGAATATCCGATTTGAATTGTATTAAATGTTTCAGTAAATAGAAAGTAAACTTACATACTCATAGAATCTCTCTGAAAGTAATAATACCTTTTGAATCCTAGTGGGGCAAGACATTGTTACGTTATAGACATTGTTCCTAACAAAACTCTACAGATATTAAAGTTATCTAGATGGCCAAAGTAATAACTATCATTCTTTTTCTACAATACATATAATTACAAAGTTTATTTGAATATTATTATGTAAATAAAATTTCTTTTGCTCCGCAAAAGTTACTATTTAATTTTCCTCGCTTTTATTAAAAGTATATGGATATTAAAGTTATCTAGATGGCTAAGGTAGAAACTACATTTTATTTTTTATTTTACATATAACCAAAAGGTTTATTTGAATATTATTATGTAAATAATTTTTTTGTCAATTGAAAACGTGACTTTACATATACAAATCTATTTTAAAATTATATAGTCACACAACATAATTTCAAGATCGTCACAAAGTGATAAACGTGATAAATAGAACTTCCATCATGCTTATTTTGACATATTTTTTGCCAGGGTAAACAAATAAGACTCAAAGAAAATCTTAATGTGAAGTTGGTCCACCAGCTCTATAAGTTCTATAATATAAGAAATTTGAACATGCACAATTCAATCTTTCGACTTAATTTTTTTTTACATAATAATAATTAATGCAATAGTAAGTTCTAATTTCCAAGCTTTAAATATTTATTTTAGAATTTGTTTATAGAAAAGTATTAATTTTTTTTTATAATGAAACATTTTACCTAAATTTACATAATAATATATACAGTATATCACTGGATGAATTAGAAAGTTGTATCAAGCAAATTTATTAACTTGGTGATATTTATTTAATATTTTAAACAAAAATGAATTCATATAATGGACTTCTTTCAAGGATGGCTATTAACAAAATGTCAGTTGATTTAAAGAAAGATGTGTTGATTTTTGATTAAAGTTTCATTAGTGATTATTAACGATTTTAATTATACATACATACATACATACACACACACACACACATGCACATATATATATAATATATCACTTTGCAACACTGCTATATAACTATGAATAATTGATAAAACATTCATCAAGTATAACGATTTAGAAGGACTTTTATTTACATAATAAATAATATTAATAATAAGCACAGATTATACTTCTAAAACCAAGGTTTGTTTGTTATATTCACTCTCATTAATTCCGATGTATAGTGCAAGACACCTAGTCCCACAACTTTTTATTGGCCTTGTAGATCCTTCTCTAACTCCAAAAATGGAAATG